AGGGGTGGCTGAAGGGAGATGAGGGGTGGCTGAGGGGAGCTGAGGGGTGGCTGAGGGGAGCTGAGCGTGGCTGAAGGGAGCTGAGGGCCGGGGCTGTCACCTGCGGCGCGGTGTGTCGGGGAGCATCCTTCGTGCCCTCAGCGGCCTCAGCCCCAGCGCTGTGCTGCAGGGCGGGCGCGCGGGGAGCAGCTGCAGCCCTTCGCAGCGGGTAAACAAGCTTGTGGATGAAGTCAGCGAGTTCCTAAGTTTCTGAGGCAAATCTTTCACTTGAGGACGGGCTCCCCAGTCCCTCCCCTGTCTGCCTGTGGGCACTGTCCTGCCTATGAGATCTGGCTGTGCTGAGGGACATGGTTTAATCCTGGACTCGTCAGTGTTGGGTTAACGATTGGGCTCCATGATCTTAAAGGCCTTTTCCAATCCAGGCAATTCCGTGCTCTGCAGTGTGGCTGTCCTTGTGAACAAGGTGCAGGTGTGGGCTTGGGCTTGCTGAGAACATCCAGTCAGAGGGATTTGGATAGTGCTTAACGAGTCTTGCATTGCATAAAACCCTAAAGCTCAGGAATGATTTAATTCGTTGCATTTGGGTTTGTATTAGGCAGTCGGCACAGCCACCCTGGCACGGTGGCAATACGCACCTCACGGGATCTCTTGTCACCTCTGTGCTGGCCTCATATGCTGTATTGTGTTCCTGTGGGGACCTGGTACTCATTCAGAGCCTGGTGCAACTGTAACAGCAATGCTGATAATTAAAATGTGGTTTAACACAGATAGGAAGTAGATCCTTTGTATGTTTATGGTGCCTGGTGCAGGCAAATGTGATTGGTATTTATGGATTTCAAATACTTGCTTATACTTGGGCACTGTTCTTGCAATAAACTCAACCTGCCTGGAATACCTGACATGACCAGGGCTGTGTCTGCCCCACATAGCTCAGTGACCCCATAGCTCATACCTCTTCCACAAAAAAACCTCCTGTCGTTACTGTTTCTGTGCAACATTTTCATGCTGTTGTGAGAAAACTAATTTTGTGTGAAATTCTTCTGGTGCCCCTCAGAGCATGCATGATGTTGATTTAGATGAACAGGATCTGCATCACTGGGGGGAAGTGGTATGTTCAGTGCAAAGCTCGAAGGCTGCTTCTCTTCATTTATGCAGATTCTGAAGTATTTAATCCTTTGCATGGGAATTTGAGAGCTGTTCTCTGTAGCAGACAGATGTAGCCTTTGGCAGTTCATGTCTGAGAGCTGAAGATTGCATTGAACAGAAGGACACTGCAAATAGATCAGAGATTCATTTTGTATCATCACGTGAAGATGTGAACCTACTCTGACCTAGGCAAAGGCTAAATTAATAGCAGTAATTAATATCTGTGTTATTCCTGTTGTGGCTGGAGGAGGGGGTCTGGTATCCTAGGACGGGTTTGCTACATGTATGCTCCTTGTCTGAACTATTTAACAGCAAGACTAAAAAATATAAGTTAATTCCTTTTCCTTTTGCCCAGGCCCCAAATGCACGTGAAAAATTACGGGGAAAAAATTAAGAATTTGCGAGAGGCAGAGTTTGGAATGTCAATGAAATATTTATTCGTTATGCCAACAAGTGTTTCCTGTATGTGGGAATTAAAATAAGAATCTGGGTAGTTAACAGAAGGAATCAACATATGGGTGTCTTCTCAGGAGTTGCTTTCTGCATTTCCAGGAGGTGGTGAGGGAAAGGTGATGCATCTTTGCAGGTAAAAAGGGTGTTCTGAGGCCTGCAGCTTTTCATGGGTAGGTTTCATGGATGACAATGGGTTTGGATCTTTGCTTGGAAGAGTCTTGCTGTTATGCCTCTGTCTGGCAAGGGAAGAGAAAAATATTAATGAGGAATGTTAAACAACCCTGTTCCAGTCTTACACCAGCGCTTGTGTTTTTCAGATCAGTAATTTAGTGGTGTGACATCTCCTGGCTGAACTGAACTGAACTGAAGTTACAGCTCACCCCATGTCTCCTGGAGGGAGCAATGACATAAAAACTCTTGGGTCTTAAGTCTGTTCAAATGGTTTTCAGCTTAGTAGAGAGAGGCCTGAAGGTGTTACCACCTGGTGGCTGTTCGATGGCTTGTGTGAAATGGCTGTGAAGGGTCTCAGTTCCATTTCTGAACCTCTCACTGTTACACTCCAAGATCTAAGTGGATAATTTCTAATGAGTAATGTGCTCACATGGTGCCTTTTTCGACTCAGAAATTTTCACAAATGAGGTAATTTCCATTTGCTATTTGAAATGATTTACTGATAATTTGTGCAAATGAAATGCTCTCGAGCGGTTTGTTCTGTGTGTCATATCCAGAGGGCTTCTTGTGTGTCGACAGGGCTAAGCTCTCTGGTCTCGCTACAAGGCAGTTGTTAGAACTGGGTGACAGACAAGTAACTGGATAAACTGAAGTGAAGTGACTTAATCCCAAATCCCAGTAAGAGGTGGGAGTAAAGTGTAACTGTTCAACCTCAGCAGTTTGCTTAATGGGACAGGAAGCACAATATGAAATCATTTCTTCATGAAAAGGCACCTTAATAATTCAGGGTTATTTAATTTTTTGAGGGGGAAGGGACAGGTCTGTCTTCAAGCACAGTCATTGTTGATTAGTTGCACCTAAAACCGGGTTACCCTGTGAAAAGCAGAATGGATGAGCCCAGAGTGGCCCCACACATCCTCCCCAGGCCGACAGTCCCAGCTTCCCTCCTGTCTTGCTCAGCTCTCCCCTGTCTCTGCTTGTCACCACGTGCTGCGGGTGCTGTTTACCCAGGAGCTCCTTGAGGCTTGTCAGGTGGCTGCCAGCCAGCGTGGGGATGGCTGAGCCCACCCAGCTTCCCCCAGGGACAGACCTGGCCGTCTCCTCACTACCTAATCAGATCCTCACTTGGAAACTTGCTTGCACTGAGACCTTGGCCAAATCTGGTTGACACTGACCAGGGGAAGGGAGGCCGAGTCAGACAAAAGCTTCCCGTGGTTTCTCCTCCGTGTCCTTCAGAAACGGGGTTAGAAGTGCTGCTGTTGGGTGCCGCGCTGGGACACGGGCTGCAGACAGGCTGCTCCTGCGGCTCCACATGCTGGTGATCCAGGCAGGGCACAGGCGCTTGGGAAGGAAGCAAAAGCAGTCAGGGGTGCGTAGGGGATGGTGGGGAGTACCACGTGTTCAACACTAACACAAGGCTGTGCGTTTCTGGGGGGGAAATGGGGAATGCTATTGGGTTTTTAGGCATCAAAGTAACACAGCTTTACAGAAGGAAGTTGGCAAATCGCAGCCTCTGATGCCTTTTATTGTCAGTGCCTCCCTCTTGTATCTCCTCTCTCAACCAGCTTGCTTAAATGGTTCATCCTGCAGCCCAGAAGACTCGAGAGCGTTACCTGTGCTTTGAAAGTCTTGTCTCTTCTCTTCCACCCCTAAACTGTTCTTCCTCGGGCATTGGGAGTATCGCTCCCGGTTGCCAGCAGCTGCCCGTGCACAAGAGCACAGCTTGTTCTGGGCTGCTTTTTGGCAGAACTGCCTCACATTGACAGCAGTAACTTGGGGAGCAGTTGATTGCAACCAGAAATCAGACATGCCTCTTCTAAAGCAGTAGCTGAGTTGACAGGGAGCTAGTGAATGAGACTGAGGAACAAGGTTTCCTCAAGGGAGAGCAATGTCCTGATATATCAGGAAGTTTGTGAGATGGTTGCAGTCATCATGGCCCAGGGAATTCAGGAGGTCTGCAAATCTCAGACCAGGTATTTTTCTTGTCTCATTATATTGAGCACCCAGCTTCTGTCTGTATCCGTAAAGACAGTTTCTCCCTTCTTGAGAACTTGGTAACCATATTTCAACTCATCAGTCCTACGTACAAGGCTGTGTTCTGGATGAGTGTGGGGGATTGAGCTGAGACACTATCACATTCAAAAACTTACCGGGCAGGAATTCTCACATATAACAAACACGATGTAGGATATTGCAAAGGCTAACAGGACACAAGCGATGAACGCTTTGATGATGATACTTGTTATTTGTATGTTCAGCATATCTTTGTCATTTGAGGATGGAATTCCTTCTAAAATGAGATAGAGAAGAATATTTCAGATGTGTTTACAAGTCTTTGACAGTTCAAAATTTTCTCCTTTTTGGTTAGGTTGGGCTAAGTTAGATGGACCAGAGCAGAGGAACAATTCAGAGTCTCCTGTAGGCTTTCACAGGAAGCTGTAAATCTCTCCAGAATCTTGGGAGCTTTTTACTTTAAAATATTTCAAATATCTTTGGGTTCCTGCCTGGTCCCCAGATGAAGCTGGTCTGTAAGCCCAGCCACAGCAGGCTTTGTCCTGGTTTTTGGCTGGGACAGAGCGAGGTTTTCTCAGCACAGCCAGGATTCACAAAGCACCTGGGCCAGTGCATTTACTGGTAGAAGCAATCCTGCTGTTGAAGGAAATTGCTGTTTGGGAGAGTTCATCAAAGCTGTCTGGGGAAAGCCAGTGTCTTTTTTATCCTTACATCTACGGCTGTGCTGCTCTTGTGACTCTGGAGGGAGAATTGGTACTTACTCTCTAAAGTTTTGTTTTCTTGGTGCACAGGTGGGACAGTCGAACTCTTGGAAAAAGCTTTCAGCTTGGGCAGCTCTGCTCTTATAGCACAATTTGATATCCCTGCCAGGAACACTGGAAATAAAAAGAAGTTTTAAACCCAGATGTTTCTTTCTGTTGAAGCTGAAGAACCAGAAGCAGTTGAAGGCCAGAATTACTTGTACGCTCAGACAGTTGGCAAGAGGTGGCAGTGTGCCTGGGAACTGGCAGCGGAGTCCTACAGACAGGTAGTTTTCTTACTTCTTTGCAATTTCCTGATGTACAGAATTTTCACTGTGTATTAATATTGGAAACTCTGTTTGCCAAAACTGCATGGCCCTCCCAAAAGAAGGGGAAACAGCAGCGTGGGATTGTTACAATACCTGAAGCTTTCAGCAGTGTTAATCCTGGACCATTACTTTCTCCTAGTTATTTTTTTTTTTTTAAGAGAAAGGTACAAATACTTTTTTTAATAACTTCTAAGTTATCAACTATATGAAATTGAAGAGTGCTGTCCTCTGCCATACCTAAACATATATTTGCTACATTGAACTTTTTACCTTTTTCTCTAAGAATAAACGTTCTCTGAAAGTTTTTTCTGCGGCGTGTCAGTAGAACCCAGGTGTGGCTGACAGCAGGTTTCCTGTCTGCAATGGCGACAACTTTCAGGCTCTGCAGGGCACATTTCTCTGCTGTCTGGTTTCTCAAATCTCCCTGCAGCTTCTCCAAAAACAGCAGATTTACCTGCACGGGGCGCTGAAGACTAAAGCATCCCAGAGTGATGACTTTTTTGGTTCTGCTTAACTTCCCCGTGGTTGTTACCATCCCAGGGGCTGGAAAAGGATAAGAAACATTCGAAATGGCTTCTCTTAAATTATTTGCAATTCTTCCTGCAAAAGGTTCTGGCCAGCAGAGTTAGCTGTGAGGGATGAAGGAACTTCAGAGGAATTTCAGAGACAGCTTGCTGTCAATGTTACAATGAGGAAAATTCACACCTTGGTGGTTCTTTTTTGACAGACAAGCTTTATTCTTAACACTTAAGCACAGTAAGTTGTTGCACTCCAGAGGACAACATTCACACTGTGTAACTTTATAGTAACATAACTACCTATGGGCAAACCCCCTCTCTTGGGGACTCAAGAGGCTGCGTGGCCACTGAGGCCCTTGATCAAATGTGAATGTTGCAGATTTTATGCATGATTGCTGACAGCAAGTGACACCAGCCAATCAAAGGTTACTCTAATGGTGTCTCTGGGTTTTTTTTTAGCAAAAGAGTTAAAATATTGCCTGACCTCTTGTATCCTTTTTGGTCAGGTGGCTGAGGAATAGCTGAGGGAGCGAGCTGAAAATGTTAACCACACCATTAAGAGCCCTGACAGTGTCCCTCTTCCATTGACTCCTTACCTTGCAGGGAGATGTTCAGGCTTCTTACTCTGCCAGATAGTTCTGAGGCATTTTCCACGTGACATTTGCATTCTCTGGGGTCTGAGGGAACGGAAGATGAACCACTTTTAATTACAATGCACAGTTGAGTCAGTACTACCCTCTTTTAGTAACTCATTTTAAATGTCAGTGTTTTGTGACAGCAAAAGTGCAAGCGTCTGAGGTGAGGGCAGATAGATTAAAGTCTTAGTTCAGCATATGGTAGAAGGGAGAAAGTTAACAAACAGAGATATATTTAGTTCTAATATGACAAAAGTTATTTAGTCTTTTACAAAATCTGTAGTTTTATTCAGTTAGAACTTGCAAGTATGTGAACAACTCACCTTTGCTGACGAGATGGTTGTGCGCAAACACTAAGCTAATTATTAATATTGTGAGCATGATTACATCTGCTCTTGATAATCTTGAAGCCTTTTTTATCTTCACTGCTTCCTTTGAGGAACGTTGTAAAAGTGTTTCAGCAGATACCAAGCTGATTAGCAGAGATCCCCAAACAGCTCTGTTATCATATATTCCTGTTCAAAACTCCTGGGCCTTTAACCTCGAGAGTTTAAAGGTAGAGCCTTGATTCACTGTAGATGGTACCAATTTCTAATTTCAATCCAGTCAGGAGAAACGTGGAATCTGGTAAAAAATGGTCCTGAAAAAAGTCTTCTCTGTCAGTCAAATTTCCTTTCAATAGGAACGTCACAAATTAACCCTGGTCCTGGACGCGAGTGCCAGAGTTAAGCACTGAAACAGGTGAGACAGGTAAACGTGGCGTCTCCTGGGAGTGGGGCCCAGGACACACTGGGGTCCTGGTGTGGACTGGGAGCCGCTGGTTGCTGAGCTCCTTCTGGAATGGAGCCCCATGGCAACCGCCCCATTGCTGAGGGGAAACAAACCCTTTCCTAAAGCCTTCTCCCCCAAAGGGAGGGTCCTCAGCAGCCTCCTGAGAGCTGCGGGGGGCTACAGGGGAGCTTGAGCCTCCCCAAGCCCTGAACACCCGCAAGCCAAGAAGTGATGCCAAGCAGGCTGCTCCCAGGACTTTTTGGGCTTTTTAGCTCATTGATAAAACCTAAAACTGCTTAGGAAAGGGAGGCAGGCTGGGATTACCTGCCAGCCCTGCTGCAGGCTGAGCCCATGCGCCGCTGGGTGAAATGCAGTAGCTGTCGGGAGCAGCTGCGGCCAGCAAATTCAGAGGCAATACTTAACGGCAGGGTCCAGAAATACGTGGGAGAATGACCAGGCTCCTGTAGTCCACAGGTCTAATAAAAAACTCCTGGTGACATTTCTTGAGGGCGTTTTTGGAGAACTGGCGTTTTCTGTAGGAGACACAAGGTGGCGATGGAAAACACTTTTTCCTCCAAAGCTTTGAAATGCAGGTTTATGTCGCCGATCACAGGACAGAATATTGTTGTTCAATCTAAAACAACCCCTGACATTTCACATGATTGATGCTCTAGAGACTCCAGAAAATGTTTCCATAAGCATTCATAATGCCAGAAGACGTTTTAAGTTTAAAAAGAGAGCAAACGGAGTGGCAAATGCTTGCATGTCAATATTTATTTTGCATGTGTATTTTGTTTAGATATTCATGGTGGTAAGGATGGATTTTAGTATAAATATTTAATATTTACAAGCTATCAGGTAGTATAAAAACATTCCTATTGCCATTGCCTCTTCTGTAGGCATGGAGACTGTTTTTAGTGTATTCAGCTGCTTTAGTTCAGTGATTCTTTTCAATTAAAAGTGAAAAGCCAACAGCAGAATTAAAAAAACCCCAACACTGTGGTAAAGGTGTGAAAGGATAAGATAGTTCTGGAATCTCACATAGCATGTCTAGTGTGAGGTGCGTTTGATCTGCTCCATACTTAGAAGGGCTTCCTGATGAATTCACCCTTATATTTATGATTAAGTATTTTCCTGAAGTGCTGTGTTTGTTCATAATTAACATCCAGTTACCATAAACTGCTAATTTTTATGCAACTTTCTCAAGACAGAATTCATTAGGAATCCCAAATTCCTCAGCCTGTAAATAAAAATTCAAAAAATATTGGAAAGAGAATTGATCTTTTCCAACCCAAACAATTCTATGACTATAAATAATTTCAAACAACTAAATGTTTATTTTTAATGAGGTTATCTGATACCGTTACAAAATGTTCATCAGTGCACAGCACCTACAGTCAGTGCTCGGTTTTGCTTTCTGGTGAGTTCTGCTGCTTCTCTTCCTGGGCTGGGAATGCTGAGACCAGCCTGACTTTAACATTTGACAAGACAATTCAGGGCACTTGCTGAAGCTGGAAGAAAACTTGGGAGCAGTAACAGCACAACTTGTGGAGTGAGTTAGCGATGGCAGGTAACCTGCTAACTGGAGAGAAGGAGCTAGTTTGTTAGTGAAATCCTTGAAAACAGGCAGATATTGTCAGTGTTGGGAAGATTCACATTTCCCTTCCGATGTTTAAAATCTTCTGTAACATTTTCTAAATAGCTCAAATGTGATTTTGCTTTAAAAAAAGTGATCTGACCTTTCTCATTTTTACTTGCCTGCCAGGACATGAGTTGTGCCAGGGTGGATGGCGTCACTAACCTCCCTAACCTGGGATGATCTTTCCTGTGTTTGCACTGCTGATGTTATCAGAGCCTGGGGAAGAGACATGGAACCCTGACTTGGCATCATAAAAGGTAATAACATTTCCCCTGTCTCTTTTTTTTGGAAATTAATTGTTAAGGCTACACTTGCTTTTTTTGAGGACACAGGAGGGGTTACAGGTGTGAACAGTGTGTGCCCTCATCAGTCGTGTAAGAGTAATTAATGCACTGAGTCCGATTTCTGAACGTAAAAGAAAAAACAACCCCCTCTGAGATTTTTTTTGCTGTCTTCAGGAAATTGCTTGCGTAAAATTCCCAGAATGGACTATTTTGGGCTCTATTCTGTGCTGTGTGTATGCAGGCTGTTAACAACTGTCCTTCTGGATGATGTGCACTAGGATCCACCTGATACTGTTACAGTGATAAATGAAGTGCTGCTTTAAGGCCATCAAAGCTGAGTGTGGCCCAGGGCTATTATTACTGTTTAATTTCGAAAGCACCTTCCAAACCCATGCTTTATTTTTAAGGTTAATGTATTTCATTTGCTGTTTTCACATGTTCTCGTCTGGCTTTGCCCTTGAACGGGAGGGAGAGTTGCTACAGGATTTAATTAGATGTAGCAATCACTCCTCCAGCAGTATTTGAATAGTATTTATTAACTGAATGGATGAAATGGGCAGGGCAGACACGCAGCGTGCAGGTTTTAGCACGACCGGAGCACTCAGAACACAGACAAGATGAACTAAGCACCTGTCGTAATCTCCAATTTTGTAATTTCTGTATATAGCTATTATCAGGAATTTGGGACAGAACCCCTCGGCCTGCCAGGCGCTCCCCCTCGCTTTTGTGTGAGTTGGGATTTAGTGCTGTGGATGATGAAGCCAGCATTGATCAGCCTGCTCTCTTAGCTCCTTCATACAAATATTTACACAGAGGAAGATTCTTTATCTAAAAGATATTTATAGAGATATGAAAAAAATGTCGATGTCTGGAACAGTTTTCCAGATCTAGTCCTGATGGAGGTGAGAACATGGTCTGTTCCCCCTAACAATATTATTAACTACAAAGCTACAAATAAGATTTTCCAGATGTGGAATATCCACTTGCCTGCAGTAGGCAGGTGATCCCAGCCCGTGCTCCCCGGTCAGCGTGCTGTTCCCTGGCAGAGCACAGTCTCCCATCCCTGGTGACCATCGCCTCGGTCTTCAAACACACTTTAAAAGGAAATTCCCTGGAGTTTTAAACTGAAGTTTGTGGCTGAGGAAATTCACTGTTCTGTCATCACGCCCACTGCTGCAGTGAAGTTTCTGTGAGGCTGAGCCAGTGTCCCAGAGCAGTCCCAGAGCACAGGAGGAGGACGGGCTCTCTCACGAGCACGCTCTCACACCGGGCATCACCTTGGTTTGCAGTACAGGAATAAAGAGCCCGGTGCCTGTGTAAATTACACACCAAGCCCCGATTCCCCAGGAGGGAGGAAGGCAGTGTGACACGCTGGTGTTGGTTCTGTCCCGCTGAGCACTTCAGGAAGGTGCTGGCGGTGACGAGCGCGGTCTGAACGCTGTTTGAACAGACCCCAAACTGTCTGTGCAGAAACTTCTGCTTTTATACCCCCCGGCGCCTCTCCCGGATCTGCCCGCGGAGGAGAGCGGGCCCAGTGGCGCTTGTGTGACTGACCAACCCCGTA